TGTACAGGAATCTCCATATTAGCGACTGAGCGTGTTAAGCGGGTATTTTTTTGAGTAAAATTTTCAGCATTGGTATATATTCTCAATATACATTGATAAGCAAAAAGTAATTGGACGTTCAGTATGTTCGATTCATCGTACAATTTATTTGTAGAAAATAGTCTCTCTTTTTTTAGGATAATTTTTAAAATAATATTTTGTGTTGTCTCTACAATTTTAATAGTGGTGTTAAATGCTCCACCCCATGCTACTATGCAATACCTTAATATAGATTCCACTAGGGAGTTATAAAGTATCATTATATTTTTCTTTGAAAGAATGTCCCGGAGAACATAAAATTTATGCATTAGGGCTCTCAGTCTATTACTAACATGGACAATATGCTCAGACCAACGTATGTATTGATCAAGTATTACACCTGGGTATTTAATTTGAGAAACTTTTTCTATCAAGGGGCAGTTACAATCGCTTTTTTGACAGTCACTACTATGCAATTTTATACAAAAGCTGTTAGGTTGATTAACGATGGTTGAACTAAAAGTAATGCATTTTGTTTTCAATACATTTAAAGTTAGTAGATTGTTATTTAACCATAAACTTATCTTTCTTAGGGCCGTTTCTCCAGTGAGTTTAACCTCTTCCCATTCTTTTCCAGCGAAAATAATTACCGTATCATCCGCATAGCATATGATATTCCCAGATAAGTTATTAATTTGTGTAATGTTGTTCATATAGACCAGAAACAGAATTGGGCCCAATACTGTTCCTTGTGGGACCCCCATCTTTACTACTGATTTAGAACTTCTGGCGTTGCCAATTTTTACGCTCTGGGTTCTATTAGATAAATAATCCCTCTGGAGCCTTAATGCTAAACCCCGTATGCCATAGTTATTTAGTTTGTCAAGTAAAATGTTATGGGAAACGGTATCAAATGCTTTGGCCAAATCAAGAAATACGGCAGCACATTTTAATGATTCATCTACAGCATTAACCGTCTTTTCCAAAAAATCAACTACCGCATTTTCAGTGCTTGAGTTTTGTATAAAACCGTATTGACAATCTGTAATAACATTATGATTATGAAAAAAATTAATTAATCTAATTTTTACTGCATTTTCAAAATTTTTAGCGAAGTTGTTGATAACAGAAATTAGCCTATAATTTGTAAGCTCACTAGGGTCTCCGGATTTGTATACAGGTGTGACAATTGATTCCTTCCATTGACTTGGAATTTTTTCTGATTGAAAGCAAATATTAAGGATATGCGTTACAGGAAGAATAATATATTCATTTATATTTTTTATTGTAGTTGCTGTTAATTTATCTGGACCAGGTGCAGAGCTATTTTTTAATTTGCTTATTAAAATAGTTACTTCATTTTTTGTTACGGGTTTAAAGAATATGTTGTTTTCAACTTTATCGTTTTTAAGAAAGTTTACTGCTGGTACTACCTTATGTATTTTATATGCCATATTTTCACCTAAATTTGTAAAAAAAATATTAAACTCTTCAGCTTTTTCTTTGTTATTGTTTATATTATCTTTATTTTCTGATTTTATAGATATGTTTTCAATTTGCTTAGTTTTTTTTTTGTACTACCTGTTATGTCATTAATGATTTTCCATATTTTTTTATAATCGTTTCCGGATTGTGTAATTTTATTTTGATAATAGTCATTTTTTGTTTTTCTTATTAAGGAATGAAGTTTGTTTCTGTAATTTTTATACTGGTTTTCAAGTTCTAGAATGTATTTTTCTGTTAGTTTTTTTTTTAGAGAGTCTCTATTTTTTATTGAAAGTATTAAACCTGTTGTTATCCATGGTTTTAGTTTAATTGTGAAAGAGTGAAAGATGTTTTTCGACAATTAAACTTATTAAAACATTTTTAAGGAACACAATGTGCCAAGATAGATTATGCGCGTTAGCCATGTTATCCGTCGAAAAAAAAACTTATTCGGTCCATTCCAATTTTTAATAATCTGGTCATCGATCACTTCGTTAGCCAAAAATCCAGAAGAATGGAATATTTAATTTGTTTTGAAATATATTTAATTTTCATTAAGCGGAGAACTTGTTTTCCTACACTGAAAAAAATATTGTACGTAATATCAATGAACACCAATTATTATTCTTTTTTCATTGATGCAATGAAAAAATTCATTGGAACAATGAATAAACAGTCATTGCTTAATTACCTTATTCGTTATCACAAAGTACTTCTGTTCATTAGAAACTGATGAACATATTTCACAATTCAATGTATATATTTATTTCCTAGACGAAGTATTTTCATTAGTTCAATAATTAGTTCGTTGCATTTATGAATTTTTACATTAACCACAGAAATTAAAATTAATAAATTCAAAACATTACATTAATGTACAATGGTTTTAAAATAATACCTACAGTCTTTAAATCAATAACTCAATTCCATCATTTAGTAATTTAGTACATTAGAATAATGAATTTGTACATAGACTATATAAAGGAACGTACGTTTTTTTTAAGGAAATGCCTTACATTGTTACATAGTACACGTTCATCGTTACAATTTTACGCACATACATAAAAACAATAAACTTTTACATAAAATTATGAACGCATACACTAAATCAATGTTTATGATTTTGGAAGAAAACTGGGTTCGTTGTTTTAATGAATTGTGTTTATTATTTCAATGTTTGCCATATTTAAATCAATACGGTCGTTATTAAAAAGTACCCAGTACATTGTTTATATGAGTTGTGTTTATTGTTATAAAGCATGTGTATTTATTCAAATCAGTGTTCAAATAATTCATTATTCCGTTTTTATTGGTTGAATTGGAAATCTCGCGAAAATTGCAGTCCGACAAGGCAGTCAGTTTTAAATTCGTTATTTGTAACTGCATAATGTAGAAAGCATGTATTTTTAAATAATATTTACATTTATTATAACAACATGTTAGTTTTCCAATATGGTTTTAATTTCATCATTAAGTGAGTACATTAGGTTTATGAATTTAGACATATAAAGGCGAGTACTTATATATTATTTTAAGGAAATGCACTCATTGTAACAGCGTACGACGTTTATCGTTTTGATGTACGCCGTATATGAAAACAATAAATTTGTATATAAAGTTATAAATGCATACATTAAATCAATGTAATGATTTTGCAAGATAACTCGGTTCATTGTTTTAATGAATTGCGTTTATTATTTTATAATAATTGTAGTAATTAAATCAATATTGTCGTTATTAAATAATACTCGATGTTAAGATGAGTTGAGTTTTTTTTTTAAGTATAACAACTATAGTTATTATGTCAATAAGTCAGATTCCCAATAGGTTATTTTTATCATTAAATTATTCAGTACAATATAACAATGAATTTGTACATAGAATATATAAAGGCACGTACATTATTTTAAGAAAAATTTCTTTCGTTGTTACAACGTACGTATTCATCGTTTTTGTGAACGCCCTACATAAAAACAATAAATTTGTACATAAAATTATGAACGCATACATTAAATCAATGTAATGGTTTTGAACAATAACTTGGTTCATTGTTATAATGAATTACGTTTACTATTTTATAATTGCCGTATTTTAATTAATATAATCGTTTTAAATAATACTGTGTTAAAATGAGTTGCATTTTTTGTTATAAAGCATATGTATGCAATTCAGTGTTCGAATACTTCAATAATACGTTTCTTCATTGGTTGGAGAGAAAATCCCTCGGAACTTACAGTTGAAGAAGGTATTCTGTTAAACAGTTTTAAGTTAGTCCTGGGTTACTGCATGATGTTTTAGATTTTCTAGGAAACATGTATTGTTAAATAATAGTTACAGTTATTATATCAATAAGCCAGTTTCCCAATATGTTATTTTTATTATTAAGTAATTCAGTACATTAGGATAATTAATTTATACATAGAATATGTATAGACAAGTACGTTATTTTAAGGAAATGCCATTTGCTATTACAGCGTACGCATTCATCTTTTTGATGTAGGTACATAAAAATAATAAATTTGTACATAAAATTATGAATTTGTTCATTGAATTAATGTTTAAGGTAATTTATTTCATTGTTTTAATGAAATGCGTTTACTGTTTCAAATAATTCAATGTACAAATACATCAGAAATGCGCCTTTTGATTGGGTCGAGAAAAATTGCAGACGAAGAAGGCATTAAGCAAAATAGTGTCCAGTTAGTTATTGGTGTCGTAAAAGGTATGTACGTTTATTTTATTTTTAATACTAGGTCTTTATGCAAATACTTTTTAGACATATGATCAAAAACTACCTAAGGTTTTAAGGTTTGGGTACACATTTTCTAGTTACTGATCTCTGTGAAAATATGGAATATTTAATTTGTCGTCGATTGCCATTGTTGATTAGACACTTAAAACGTAAACACGATTTAGGAAATAGTTCTGTAATTCGATGTTGTCAGAATGATTGTAATCAGGTCTTTCAAAATATATGTAGCTTAAAAAACATATGAATAGGAAACATGTTGTGGATTCGCTGACATCGACAAAATCCGTACAATATCTAATAGTTATAAAGTCATTGTACCTCAATTTGATTAAAAAAAAATGATACGTATTTACGAGAGTAGGTAAACTAAAACAATTAATTTGGAAGTTATCAAGAAATCTGTAGAATTTAACAACAGGAATTTCATAAAAGATTAACCAATCCTGCAGCAAAATTTATTCTTTCTCTGCATAATAATAACAACAACAATAATAATAATAATTTTTTTAAGAAAAAGTTTCTGTTTCAATCTTTACAAAATTTTATATGCCAGCTCTTCGAAGAAAAAGGAGTAGCAATGACAATAAGAACGTACTAGTTATAGACTTGAAAATGAAATTATAGAAAGATTTCCTTCTGAAAAATTGGTAAGAATATCATTTCAGATAATTTTTCTATATACTCACTATAATTAGTCAAGTGTTATTCCAATCACAGTATTTCTTTTATTTATTTTCTGTTTTAGGAATTTCATCGTACAATAAAAAAGAGGGAAATTATATATCAAATGCACAAATTTAAAAAATCGTTTACAAAAGAGCTAGATATCAAACAACCAAATAAGAAAAGAAAAGGAAAGACAACGACATCTACAAGAGTTCTGTAAGTTTTTGAGATATATTGGTTTTTTTTGTCACCTCATTTTTTCTCTAGCTACCTTATAAAATAAAAAAAAAACAATTTAAAATATTCTATTTTTGCTTAGCCAGAGCAGAGATTTAATATTTAATTTAGTTTCAGTTTTTATTTATTTGGAAGAAATTGTGGTTATAAAAAAAAATTACATCACAGGCTTGTTATTTTGCCTCAAATCATTATATATTTATTTCAAAAGTATTCTCTTAAAAACTAAAAATATAACTGGCCCAGAATTGTTTTAAAAACGTTTTGATTTTGTTTATGTCAGTCTGCTGCTACTCTATATTATAATAAAAAAAAATTTTTAGGTCCAGAACCAAATGTTTAAGAGCAATCAAGTTTGTCAATCTGACATCAGAGCAGTTTGACAGCTATTGGAAAGCCTGCACAAAATATAGATTAAACCATATTAAAATGTCTCAAAACACCCAAGACATTTTTACAAAATGGCCACATTATAAACATCCTTCTGGTTACCGATTGGTAATTACACAATATTTTATAAATTTTCGGAAACCAGTGCTGATAAGCTTTTTTTTAGATTAATATAGATTTCAAATTGGCATTCGAAAATGGGAATGCATTTGTAAAATATAAAAATATAAAAATTGTATCATTTTTAAGAACAGAAATCAAGGACAAGCCATCTAAATCTATGCTTGAAAAACTTAAAAATTAAAATATTACCGAAAGTGAGTAATTAACCTTGTTATTATACAGTTTGTCACCAAGTTTGAGTTTAAAAATATGGATAGATCACACGTTTCTATGTTTTAGGTGGCAGACATGTAGTTCTATTATGGGCACTACATGGATACTTTATACCTACCAATAAGGCGATAAAAAAGGCACCAGCTGGAAGCAAAACGTAATTAAATACACAATAAAGGACTCTCAGGAATCATACCTTTATATAAGTGTCAACCAACAAGGAGCTGAGGAATACTTAAGATTTTTAAAATTGATAAAAGTGCAATTCAGCCATTTATTTTATGTATCGGTGAGGATATAATTAATCCCATAAATGTAACAATATATTTTAATAATATTCGGTATACATTTTTTAATATATTAAAGGCTGTATGTTTCAAAATTATATATTTTTTGACCTTGATTTTCCCCTAGAATCGGAAATGTTTTAGAATTTTATTTCCCATTATTTTTTCATAATGCAAGGAAGTCAGTCTTTTTCGAATGTGCATATTTTGCCTGAAGTACTTAAGAATAATAATAATTGTGAAGCGGAAGGAAAATGTTAAATGTTGATTTCTATTTAAAAGAAAAATCAATTACATCATCAGCCCATCATAGTTGACGTAACCTTTTTTTTTAAGAATGTCAAAGAATGAAAAACATAAATTGACATATTTCTTAAAAATCGACTATTTTCGAAATAATGAATTTATTCCAAATATTTGCACCATACCGTATATGCTGCTCAAAAAACATTTTGATATTAGATTTTAAGCGTTTGTGTTTGTTATTGTTTGTTTTTATTTAAATTTTGTGCCACTTAGGTATATAAGTTTTTAATAATTTTTGTTTTTTAATTCAACATTTTTTATAAAACTTAAGTACTCTTTTTTTCTAATTGTACTTCCTTTCATCACTTAGATTAATGAATAATATTCATTGTTGCAATAAAGAGATTACACTAAATCTAAGTGAGTACATTGAAATAAGTCAATAATGTTTATTAATTCAATAAAAAAAATTCTCAATACAATCCACTAATTATACCAAACCAATGTAGTAATACATTGAAATAATACAAGAATATTCATTGGTTCAATGAACAAATTCATTAAAATAAATTGAAAATGTTTATTGGTTTAATAAAAAAAGTATTGTTTCAATGCACAAATTATATCAAATCAATGTACTAATACATTGAAATAACGCAAGAATATACATTGATTCAACGAATACATACATTGATATAATATTCAGATTTTACTGAATATATGTACTAATTCATTTAAATAACGCAAGAATATTCATTGCTTCAACGGACACAAATATATTGATATAATAATCAGATTTCACTGGAACTATGTATTAGTTCATTGAAATAACGCAAGAATATTCATTGGTACAACGAACAAATACATTGATATAATAATCAGATTTTACTGGATCTATGTACTAATTCATTCAAATAACACAAGAATATTCATTGATTCAACGAAAGCATACATTGATATAATTTTCAGATTTTACTGGATCTATGTACTAATTCATTAAAACAAAGCAAGGATGTTTTTTGATTCAATTAAGATATACACTGATACGATGGACAAATTCGTTAGAGCTATGTCAGAATGTACTTAGAACAAATGAACAGATTTATTAATAAGATGAATGAATACCATTATATCGCGGGTATTCTGCAAATAACGACTAACTGCACATTTCATCATTATGAGAAAATACATTTTGAAGTTTCTGTCTACAAAATGAATCAATTTTATCTTCAATTAGTGAATGAGGGTATTTTTTTCTGGTAAACTAGTTTGTCTAGTTTATAATTTATTTAAAATATTTACAAATAAAATTTACACGCGATGAGGAAAAAAAAAAACTAAAATGAGAACCTGTATTTAATTGCTTTTGCCTGTATAAACAATAATCATAATTTTTAGCAAATATCTCCCATACTATTTAAAATTTTAGGTGTTTGTAAGGTTTTTAGGAATACAGGGAACTAGTGAAAATAACGTAATATTTTTTTTTGAGAACAACTAAAAATGATTTAGAAAATCGAAAAAATAAATTTTTGTTTATTCATGTAATTGTGTTTGCCTGTTTGAAAATAACTCTTTATGGACATAGTGCAAACAACTAAAATAAGAAACATTAAAGAAAGTCTGTCTCTATTAAGTGAAAAATACAAATAATGGCGATTAACCATTTAAAATTATTGTTGCTCATCTTCGTCGTCTAGTGAATCAGAAGCAGGATCATCTGGGATAAGGTCTACAGCATCAGTACTGGACTTTAATTGTTTATACCAGCCATGGTATTCCTCTGGAATGACTCCAGTATTACAAAGATTAATTAAATCCTTCTTTTTGGCAGCGGATATAGGAAGAGCTTCTAGATATAGATTTTCCAATTCTTTAGGGAATTCAATTTCTGGATTTTTTTTTCTTCTAGTTCGGGTTTCTTTTTGTACGGTTGCTCCAGAAAAGTCGATTGTATTTAGATTTTCTCCTAAATCGTAGTTAAAATGCATTCTCAAGTCTCCTTTAATGTATCTCATTCTTTTTACCTTCAACCAGTTTATAGTATTTCCTTTTGTGTCCTTTGTTCGGTTTAAAATAATTTTGTCAGCAAGCTTTTTGATATCCTTAAACTCGTCATATTTAAACTCTTTTACGTGGTAAGGTTTTTTTTCAACAACGCTCTTACCATTTCTGTATTTTCCTTTTGAGCGGGCCCTTTTAAAAATGTTTTGCCACTCGTTCATAGAATATACAGAGGTGTACTTTTTTGCAGATTCAATGCTGCTATGCATTGAATCAGCCTCCATATGCGAGTGGCCGCTCTCTAAGAACTTTTGTTCTATTATCTGAATGTGCTCTATATTTTGGACCGCCCACAGCAGAATAGCAGAAATAAATTGGTTCCTATTTTGTCCCCCACATGTATCTGAAAATAAGCTCACTTCTTTTACATGTTCAGGAACGCAATTTAATAAGTAATAATATAGGATTGTACCAACTTCACAGCTGCCTTTTTTCCCATTAATTTCTGACCATGTAAAACAATATCCGTCATTGGGAATGGCGCTTTCGTATACTGTAAGATTGTAAATTGTAAGTTTCCTGCTGTAATATAACAAGCCTATTTCAGAACTTGGAATTTGTAAAATTGCCTGCAAGTCAAACGTCGCAGATAGAAAGTCTTTTTCTCTTCCTGCCCTTTCTTTGTCTATATCCTTTACCTTGTTGCATGTTTCTTTCCTCAAAATGTGTTCATTGTATATTGTTTCCAGTTTTATTTTGCCTTCAATATCACTACGGTTGTAACGTGTGCAAAGTAGACACTGGTCCTTTTTAGGTGCAAAGAAACTGAGGTTATATTCCTGAGAAAATATCCTTCGATACGTGATTTCTGAGACTGGTTCAATATTTTTATCTTTACAGTTTTCAGTGTAAAGATAATACATTTTTCTTATCGACAAAGTTGCATCTAAATATTTTCTCTTTGAGTCTTTTCTTGCGTAATGGCTTTCCATTACAGGAAACGATTCAATGTGACTACGTACCTCGCAAACTTTTTCTAGAGGAGTTTTGTTGGGTGGCTCGTGATGTCCCCTAGGATCTGACTCCAGAGCGCAAACTCCCAGATCAGACCTATTTTTTACTGCATTCGTTATCACCGATGGAGCTATACAGAGAGTTCTACAGAAAAATTTTTGACAAATCTGTAGTTTTTCATTGGTTTGCATAAAGTAATATTCTTTTGTGTGACTGCGTTGTGTGGTTCTTTTTCTTATGACTAAGACTCTCTTAGGGGGTTTTACTATAATATTAGCAAGTATGAAATTTTTTTGCAATACGAAGTCTAAGGACCAGTATTTTCTGCATAAAGCACTACGATGTTCTTCAGAAAACTTGAGGGTACATTTGTACTTGCATGTAGAACAATCAATGGTCTTCGGTACTTTTGGAGAGTTTATCTTTTTTTTTCCGTTTTCATAAGGTAAACCTTCTGCTCTTCTTTTCTTAGCTATGTTTCTTTTCCAAGTCGCTGGATTGGCACATCGCCATCGTCGTCGAGGTTTCACTTGTTTCCAAACGTTATCAAGCAGTTCCAGTAACAATGGTGCAACGATAGTAGTAGTTGTATCTTTAGACGAATGATTTTTTGGTGTTGTCGCGTTCACAATGTTTATAGGAGTAGTCTCTGATATGATATTTAATGAACTTATATTATTTGATTCAGAGATTATCAAATCTTCAC